GCGGGGCCCCCGCCGCCCGCTCCCGCAGCGGGGCAGCGCCGGCCGTGCCTCCCTTCCTCCCCTGCCTCCCTCCCTCTCCTCGGCGGACAGCCCGATCCCAGCACCCCGCTGCCGAAAGTCCTCCCGGCACATGACTGCTCAGCAGCTCTCCCCGTGCCTTTCTTTGGGGGAAAAAAAAACGGGAAAAAAAAAATCAATGGAATGGGATCGAGCTCTGCAGCGCCGAGCCTCCGTCCGGAGCGGAGCGCGTTTGGGGCGACAGAAGGAGACTTTGGAAAAGGAGAGTTTCTCACAACCATCCCGGAGTTGCATCATCCGTCCTGTCAGCCCCTAGCAGGGAGCACTGGAAAGTTGCTCTCACCCTTTCCCCTCCTGTCCCGGGGCCACCGGGGCACGCTGGCCCTCGGCCGGGGCCCGGGAGCCAGGGACATTTCTGCGGGAGCTGGGACTCTGACACCCTCTGGATGGCACGGGGGTAGCCTAGGGGGAAAGGCCATCCCAGCAGAGTCCCCCTGAGTGCCTGCCGGGATCTCAGCAGCTGCTCCCCGCCACACTGGGGAGAGCTGCCCACGCCCCACTGCCTCTGCACCGAGCCTGGCTTTGGTGCCTGGAGGAAAGCGTCTCCTTTTCCACAGCCAACGATTTACAATGCTACACCAGGACAGGCATTTAACTCTGCAATTTTTCCACATCTGCCATGTTGCTTCAGCTCGATTTCACAGCCCCAGTCTCCCTGTGCTGACTCGAGCACAGGTCACTGTCCCCTCGCCAGCATCTCTTGCCACCAGTCCCTTCTGCATCCCTGGAGCGCTGCAGGCGCCTGGCTGGGGCTGAAAGGGGAGCAGAGGCGGGCACAGGGAGCGCCGTACCCCCGCTCTTGGGCTGGGTCTGCCCACCAGGAGCTTCCAGGCGAGCGTGGAGCAGCGAGGGGCAGGAGTGTGGGGCGGTGGGAGGGACCGTGGGCTCTGCGCCCCAAAGAAAGGGCTCATTGAAGCAGGGGCGGGCATTTGCGGTTCCCGGCGTGGCCGGGGGCCGCCGGCACGCACAGCAGCCGGCATTGTGCCACCGGCGCCGAAAAAACGTCCTCCCACCCGTCCTGGTGGTCTGCTCTGCAGCCCCCCTCGCTGCCCAGCACTTCGGCGCCTTCAGTTGCTCACCTTTGCTGCAGGTGGTGCTGCAAACCCCACCCCGGCCGTGTCTGTGGTTGCCGGAGGGTTGGTTTCAAGGCTGAAGGTGTTTTAGCTGGGTCCTGGTCCACAAAGGTGTTTTAGCTGGGTCCTGGTCCAGATCCAGCTCCAGAGGCTGCTCCCTGCCTGGCAGATGCTCGAGTCTTATCCCCATGTCCAGCACTGACATCTCTGAGCCCCGTCGGGTTCAGCAGGGGCAGGAGCAGCAGCTCTCCCCTCTGCTGGGTCAGGAGAAAACTCTTGGGGTCTCTTTGGACACCACCACGGTGAGGGAGAGAAAAAAGCAGTCTGTCCTGGCCATGAAGCCTGTGCTGCTCCTGTCACCAGCATTACTGTGCCCTCACCAGCCTCTAGAACCCTTCTGCACAGTGGGACACGAGGAACAAGGGCAGCTCATCTGGGTCATCACAGAGCGCAGGTGGGACAGGGAAGAGTGGACAGGACCTCATGCACTGGAGTTTGAGAGCTCATGCAATGAAAACAAAGTTGTTCCAGTGGTGCCTGTTTGTACCAACCCCGCTCCTGCTGCTGCTCCTGAGAGTAACCTCTGAGTCAGAAGGACTTTCCATTCCCAACTTTCTCCTCCAATGGGCAGTTTCCAGGCTTCAATTTGATGAGGATTGTGACTATTCTCAGCAACTTTATAAACATTGTAGGAGATGACATTTTTCCCCTCTTCTTTTTTTTTTTTAGCTTGACTAGACATGTTTTTAACCCAAAAATACCTGCCTGGACAGGCTCCTTAGCTGTGCTGCAGGGCAAACCGAAGCAGTGCTGTGCTTGTGCCCTGCCTTGGAGGACAGCCAGGACCAGGATGAAAATTGCTGGGACATGAAAGCGAAGTGGGAAGCTCTGGTGGAACGATTCCCAAGACCAGCCTCGGGAGGAAGCTGGGAGCGGAAATAGTTGAAAGAGTAAATACAGAGAGGTTTTTTTCCCCAGGTTGCAGACAAAAAGCAGCACGGAGAGCAGATAAGCCTGTGCTCTTTATCTCTTTGTTGTTCCGCCCCTGTGTTCTGCTGATCCAGTGTCTGATGAAGTCTGATGAAGCAAAGGACTGTGGAGGGAATTAATCAGTGCAGCAGCAGCTCCAGGGGCAGCAGGCTCAGCTGCAGGTCACTGTGGGCTTCCATGGAGGGATGGATGGGAGTGGATGGGGGCAGGATGCTCAGAAGGATCTCAGGAACTCATGCACGTGGGTGTTTCATTGCCTTTCTGTGTCCAGAGCTCAGTTGTTGTCTGTTGAGTCACCAGAGGAAAATGTGACTTCATCCAGTCTCACCTCCTGCTGGCTGCCCCTGGCAGCCACAGGCATTTTTCTTTCCTGGATCTCACCTGGTGGGGGTTCAGGGCAGCCAGAGCTGGGGAATGAGAGCCCCAAGGCTTTGTGTAAGCCCCAAGGCTTTGTGTGAAAACCCCTGCTCTGCTCTGCCAGTCAGACAGTCCTGTGGAATGCCCTGCAGGAAGGTGACAGGAGCATCCCTTCCCTCCTTCCTCTCACAGGGCCTCTGCTCTTCTCACCCCTCCTGCACCACCCAGGGCAGGTGGCAGGTGCCAGCAAGGCCTAGGGGTTCAAATCTGCACACTGGGGACCTGTCCCAGAGCCTGAAACAGCGGCTGCGGCCCCCAAAACATCCATCCCACAAACCAACTTGCTCCAGTGGGCTGAAATGATTTGGTGTCTCCATTACTGTCCAAGTCCTTCCTTCTTGCTGTGGCAAGGTTAAGTTAACTTGCTGATAGTGGTGGATCCCACCTGGGCAGATTTGCATGGGAACAAAATCCCCAATATTGCCCAAAAAAAGCTCCTTTTCTGGCTTTAACTCATCTGGGAAATCCATAAATCTCTGCAATGGGAATTGCAGCCATCCCTGCTGAATTGAAAAGCACTTCCAGCCTGAGGGATAGGAAAAGGTGGGGAGCAGCATCTGAGCTGTGGGTGCTGCGTTCCCCAGCATCTCAGTTTAGCATCCCTGGAAATTATCCTGCTTTGCTTTGGGACCTGGAGAGCAAGGTGAGGCTGCCTGCTGTCTCCAGGGGTGATGTCCATCCGTCTGTCTGCTCACACAGGTGCACTCCCCAGGAGTGGACACTGGCAGGGCACCCTGGGGTGGCAGCAGCAGCATCCCAATGGTTCTCCTGATCCATCCCATCCCAGCAGAGCCCTGGAGGGGAGCATGCAGGGACACAGAGCCCCTCTGTTCCCCTCACAAAGGGGCACTTGTGGCTCTCACAGTGCCCCAGCCGGGCTGAGCCACACGGGCCCCAGTGAGGAAGAGCTTTAGGCTGAGCTTTAGGCTGAGCTTTAGGCTGAGCCAGGCAGCCTCACCAGGTCACCCGTGTGTCCCCAGCCCCTCAGCTCAGCCCTGACGGGGCCCCGCGGGTCTCGGGCGGGATTTGCAGCCGGTTGTTTGTTTAATGAATGGTGTCTGCCCCGGGCCTGTGAACGAGGGTTTTGCCAGCGCTGCCGGCCATGGATCTCTGTGTCACCCCTGTGAATAATTCCTGCTCTGCGGCTCATTTGTGGTCAGGCAGCTGGGGGCATTAGAGGGGGAGAACGCGGGGCTGCCTTTGCCCAGGGGTTTGTCTGAGGAAGCGGCTGATGCCATCCCCTGTGCGTGGGGACTGTCCCCAGCCCCAGGCCAGGGCAGGGACGCAGATCACCGCCCCCTGGGATGCCCTGACTCTGAGACGCGGCCGCACACCGAGGACTTTGTGTACTTGATTTTTTTTCTCTCGGTTGCTCAAACACTCCGACAAATCCTGTCATCGAGGGGGCACGACCCAGGAGGGGGGATATGAGGGGTGGCTGGTGAAAGGCACCTGCCCTGGCTGCTGGCCTGTCCCCAAGGAGCTGCGTGATGACAAACTGAACTAACAGGGCTGTTAAAAACACACACACACACACACACACACACACACACACACACACGTGTGCTGGGGATCTCGGTGCTGCTTGCTGAAAGGGGGGGAAGCTGGGGGACCACTGTGGGAGGGCTCTGGGGCTGCCAGAACTCTCCAGAGTCCCTGCATCCCGCTAAATCCTGAGTTTCCTGGGTGCGTGGGTGTGGATGTCTCTTTTTAGAAGGTTTTGCTGGAAAGGAGATAGCTGGAAGCCAAGCCTCGGGAGCTGAATGCTTTGCTCAAGCTGGGAAATTCCTGGTCCTCGCACAGGAGGACTGGGAATCTGACAGGCTGGGTGCTGCCCTGGCCACGGGACACATCCCACCCCTCCTGCCCACAGTCCCTCCTTCCCAGCCAGAGGGACATTCAGCGAGCAACGCTAAAAAATGCACATTTTGGCCTAAAAAATGCACATTTTGGCTGAGCACGACGCAGAAGAGGCTGCGACGTGACGCAATGCCTGGCAGGGCTTCCCCGCTCCACGCTCTGCCAGGGGCTGCAGATGCCGAGGCTTGGCCAGGGCATCTCCCCTCCAGCAAACCCCGGGGCCCCCCAAAGGATGGGGCTCTGCCTGGCTCCCCTCCTTCACCCCAAAAGCAGGGCTGGGACGGGCTGCCCCTTGTGGAGCCCAGCCAAGGCTAAATAGACTTTCCCTGAGTCACCGAAAGTCTGGCCAAGAAAGCCGGACGAGCAAACAGCATCACCCAGGGCAGGTGGCAGGTGCCAGCAAGGCCTAGGAGTGCAAATCTGCATTGGGGGACCTGCCCCAGAGCCTGAAACAGCAGCTGTGGCCCCCAAAATCTCCAGCTGGGGCGTGGGTTTGGTGTGACTCAGAGCATTTCCAGCAACGCCCCGATTCGGGTGCTGAAGGAGAGGCTGGGGGGGGCGGGTCTTTTCTGCCGGGCGGGGATGCCAAGTCTCCTGGTTTTGCATCCCACACCAAGCAGCTGCACCATCATTTGGAATTTTTTTTTTCTTCCCTTTTTTGGCAAAAATCCTCCCCTGGAGCATTCTACTCCCCGAGGGGGACTGGCAGCAGCAGTGTTTTCCGGCCCGCCGTTGTTCCTGAAAACTCTCTGGGTTTCATTTTCGAGGCTCAGCAGCTGCTGCTGCCATGCTGGGGGAAGGCGGAAGCTGCTCAGCCCCACACTGGGGCCCTGCAGTGGAGCCTTCAAGCCTCCCCTTTCCAGAGGCTGGGAGCCACAATGTGCCGAAGATCCGGGTGATCCAGGGGCTCCCTCGCTGGCAGTAGCAGGTTTTTGCCAGTGGGAAGCAGGCAGCTGTTGGGTGGCAGGGATTGGGTTTCAGGGTGGGCAGGGGGAGCTGGTGGAAGTGTGGGAAAGGATCCTGTCGGGCAGATATATTTTGGGAAGGAGGAGGAGCAGCTGATGGGGCATTCAGGCAGCTGCTCCTCATCCGGGGTGGGATGGAGCAGTAGGGAGGAGCTTCCACTTTTTTACTGCTCTTGTCCAGCTTTTGTCAACCTCTGATCCTTGCCATGCTGAGCCTTCTTCTCCCCACAGGCAGGGCTGGCAAGGCCCTAGCCCAGGACACCTTCCCGGTGTGCAGGAGGGACCTGCGTGTGCTCCCCATGGAGATCCGATGCGCTTTGCCCCAGGATATCCGGGAGCTGCTGCACTGCTTGAAGATGAAGAGCAAGTACGCCGTCCTGCTGGTCTTCGTCATCAGCCTCGTCATCATCGAGAAGGAGAACAACTTCATCTCCAGGTAGGCAGTGGGCATCTGAGCCATGTCAAGGTTTGCAGCCCCTCTCCCCCAGTCCTGAGTTCCTATGTAGAGGAGCCCCCCAAGTCCCCCATGGGGACGCAGGGTGGTCCCGCTGTCCTCCAGGCTGGGCTGGCTCTCCCCACAGGGTGTCGGACAAGCTGAAGCAGTCCCCACAGGCTCTGGCAGAGGCCAACAGCACAGAGGTCAGCCCAGCACTGGCCAAGAACGGCTCGCTGGCCTCGCTGCAGGAGCTGGACGCTGCCTTCTCCCAGATGAGGTCCCACCTGTACAACATCACCCTGCAGCTGGCAGGTGACCCCGGGGACCCCGGGCCACGGCGGCACGTCCTGCTGATGGCCACCACCCGCACTGGCTCCTCCTTTGTCGGGGAGTTCTTCAACCAGCAGGGCAGCATCTTCTACCTCTTTGAGCCCCTCTGGCACGTCGAGAAGACGGTGAACTTCCTGCCGGGAGGAGCCAGCGCGGTGGGCTCGGCCTTGGTTTACCGAGACGTCCTCAAGCAGCTCTTCCTCTGCGACCTCTACATCCTAGAGAACTTCATCTCCCCGGTTCCCGAGGGCCACCTGACAGCCTTCTTGTTTCGGCGGGGCTCCAGCCACTCGCTGTGCGAGGAGCCCGTCTGCACGCCCAGCACCAAGAAGGTCTTTGAGAAGTACTACTGCAAGAACCGCCGCTGCGGCCCCCTCAACATCACGCTGGCGGCCGAGGCGTGCCGGCGCAAGCAGCACGTGGCGCTGAAGACGGTGCGCATCCGGCAGCTGGAATTCCTGCAGCCGCTGGTGGAGGACCCCCGGCTGGACCTGCGCATCATCCAGCTGGTGCGGGACCCCCGCGCCGTCCTGGCCTCGCGCATGGTGGCCTTCTCGGGCAAGTACGAGACCTGGAAGAAGTGGGCGTCCGAAGGGGAGGCCCCGCTGCACGAGGAAGAGGTGCAGCGGCTGCGGGGCAACTGCGAGAGCATCCGCGTGTCGGCGGAGCTGGGGCTGCGGCGGCCGGGCTGGCTGCGGGGCCGCTACATGCTGGTGCGCTACGAGGACGTGGCGCGGGCGCCGCTGCAGAAGGCGCGGGAGATGTTCCGCTTCGCCGGGCTGCCCCTCACCCGCCAGGTGGAGGAGTGGATCGGCAAAAACACGCAGGCTCCTCCCGACGGCAACGGCGTCTACTCCACGTGCAAGAACTCCTCGGAGCAGTTCGACAAGTGGCGGTTCGGCATGCCCTTCAAGCTGGCGCAGGTGGTGCAGGACGCCTGCGGCCCGGCCATGCAGCTCTTTGGCTACAAGCTGGCCAGCAGCCCCGAGGCGCTGGCCAACCGCTCCTTCAGCCTGCTGGAGGAGGCACAGCCCGCCTGGGTCACGTAGCGCTGCAGGGTCACGGTGGCGGGGCGGAACGAGGGGCTGCGGCCGTGCTCCCGGCCGGTCCGGAGGCGACCTGGGGGTCCCTGCTCCCACAAATGCTCCAGGTGGCAGCCCCAGGAGCCGGAGCGTCTTAGCAGAGCTGGCCCCAGGGTCCTGCAGAGCCTGAATTACTCAGTTTCTCCAGGAATGGGGAAATGGTAAGGGTAAGGGGAGGTGGGGTCAGCAACAGGGCCATCTCCCCAGCTCGGGAGCTGCACTGAGGAGGAGGAGGAGGAGGGTGATGGCAAGCAGAGGGGGACAGGACCAAGCACCTCTGCCTTGCCACCCCCCATGCCAGCTGGGACGGGGCAAGGACAAAATCCCTGTGGTGTCAGCAAGAGCCCAGAGACCTTCTTGGTTTAGTGCCTTCATTCACCAGCAGAGACTGGAAACTGCCCACAGAGCCCTGGACGGCGCTTGGGCTACAACAAAATGAGGTGACTATGGTTTGGTGCTCTTCAAACTTGGTTTTGGAGGTTTGGGTTTATTTCCTTTTTTCCCTGTGTATTTGCATACCAGGTGAATTTATTTATTTATTATGTGAAAAGGAGGGGAAGCTGGTGAAGGAGCTAAGCCCAAAAATCAGAGCAGCACAACATGCCACAAAGGGAGACACCCAGAACAGAGGTCACCTTTTAGCTGGAGACCACCGGGTTTTAGCTGGAGACCATCTTCTGTATGATCTCAGGAGAGCCCCCGGGGACTGAGGGGCTGTAACCCTCCCAGCCCCCGTGGGGCAGCGACCACGAGCTTCTGAGGAGGTGCTGAAAGACGGTCAGACTTACCTGATTAAAAACAAAGCCACCAGCACAGAGTCCAAAGCATCTCCTGTCCCTCAGTATTTGTGGGTGTCTCCTGCCCGGGGGAGCCCCAAAAACACGAGCTAACAGCACTGATGGGTGGCCAAACCTGGTAGAGGCCCAGGGAGTTCCAGGGTGTTTGCCGTTTGCAGATGTTGACCCAGTGCCAAGCTGCTTCCTCCAATTCACATTTCATTAATTAAAATGCCTATTTTTAGCCCTCTTCGTATCTCATTCTTTTTCTCCCCCTGATATTTTGGGTTATGGCAGCCACCTGAGGGAGAAGTCAAACATTTTGCTGGACAGTGGCTTGCCAGCGAGCCCTGAGGGGTCCCAGCAGCCGCATGTCCCCTTCTCTCCACCTAGAGCTGTTGGCCAAAAGCAAAAATAAATAAATGAAAGGAGGCGGCAGCCGGCCACAGCTGGGCTGAGCTTTGCCGGCCGGGAGGAACGTGCCGGGGCTCCGGAGCAGGGCTGGGCTGGGCTGAGCTCACAAAAGCCGCGTTTTTGACCCAAGAGGGAGAACAGAGGCGGCATTGAGGAGCGCGGGGCCGGCAGGCGGGGAGCACAGCACCGGAGCCCCGGGCAGCCACCCGGGGAGGTTTTCCGAGCAGGGCAGGGCAGCATCAGGCTTCAAGGTGTGATTTCAGAGCGCTCGGTGCCAGCTGGATGGGGAAAGGACACAAAAGTGTCCACAAAAGTGGAGATTTTTGGCAAACCCTCACCGCTCACGGGCGATGGAGAGCGCCAGCCTCCTCCCCGCCTCACATGCAGCTCTCCCGGCATCACAAGCAGCCCCGGGGCTGCTGAGTGAATCGGGTTTTGTTTGGAGGCTTCCTGCTGGGAAAGCAGCAGGGTCACGGAGGTCAGATGAATATTCCGCAGCTGCGCGCTGGGAAAAGCCCACAGAGCTCAGCCAGCATCAGGGGGAACGCAGTCGGACGCAGTGTCCTATCAATGCCTCTGGAAAAGCATCATTGGGTTGGCTTTTGCAGAGAAAATCATTTTAGGGTAATTGTTTGTGAAACAGCAGGAGGGGTGAGTAGCTACTGAGCTGCCACAGCCGAGGAGGGGACATTGGAGAGTGGCCAGCATCCCCCTCCCACCCCACCGCGGGTCCAGGGGGAAAGGACAGGCAAATCCAGGAGCATGGAAAACAAGAGGCAAGGGAAGCGGGAGCTGGGCTGAGCCAAGGCCAGAGAACAGAACAGATAAGAAGAGAAAAGAAGAGATAAGAACAGATAGACTTCGCTGGAAGAGAGCTCCAAGATTGAGTGCAACCCATGCCCCAGCACCTCAACTAAACCATGGAACCCAGTGCCACATCCAGGCTTTGTTAAACACATCCAGGGATGGTGACTCCACCACCTCTCCCCGGTCAGACCATTCCAGAACTTTATCACTTTTTCTGTAAAAACCTTTTTCCTAATATCCAACCTATATTTCCCTTGGTGCAGCTTGAGGCTGTGCCCTCTGTTTCTGTCAGTGCCGCCTGGAGAAAGAGCCCAGCCCCAGCTGAGCACAGGCACCTTTCAGGAGCTCTGAGAGTGATGAGGGCAGCCCTGAGTCTCCTTTTCTCCAGGCTGAGCACCCCCAGCTCCCTCAGTGGCTCCTCACAGGGTTTGTGTTCCCAGCCCCTCTCCAGCCTCGTTGCCTCCTCCTCTGTACGTGCTCCAGCATCCCAAGGTCCTTCCCAAGCTGAGGCGCCAGAGCTGGGCACAGCACTTGAGGTGTGGCCTCACCAGTGCCAGGTACAGGGGCAGAATGGAAGAATGCCCTCCCTGCTCCTGCTAGCCACACCGTTCCAGAGGGGACGGTCACAGCCGCCCGTTTTCACCTGTGCTGTCCCCGCCCCCGCTGCTCCAGCCCCCATCGCTAGCCAAGCATAAGCAATTGTTCCTGGCCACCCTCCAGCTTTCCGTCAAAACCGTCACAGGACAGAGAGAAAACATGAAAACATGCCCCTGAACCATGCAGATTTCCCCGGGGCTAATTGCTGCCATTAAACCCCCGGCTGCAGGCACATCGGGAAGCCGCAGGGGACACGGCTCCTCCGAGGCTGGAGCAGCTGAATTCCCCCTGAGCTGCTGGGGGAGCTTTGTGCCCCCACACAAAGAGGGGCCTCCTGCTCAGCCTGCTCTGGCTCAGCCTTGTCTGGCTCTTTGGAGGCTCACGGATTTGGGAGGGAAAGCGTGGATTGGGAATGTCATAGTAAGAAACAATGTCCTTAGAGCAAGGACATTCCTGCATCCAGACAGACCATGCAGGAAGCCCACAACAGGATGAAGCTGCAATGGATGCAGCCTCACCCTTTCTCATGGACACCAATGCCAAAAAAAACCCAAAAAACAAACAATCCTCTTTTCAAAAGATCTAAGCTTTCTGAAATAAAGCAGTACTAAAGCTTGGTTTAAAATATGGAAATAAAACAAACCCCACCTGCAGCTGTACTGCCTCCAGGCTCACCTCCCAGCCTGCTGCAGCTGTGCTTTGGGGGGAATCTGGGAACATTGGGGTGATGCTAATTAGCACCAGAGAAACCTTTTACACAAGCCCTGAACAGTGAGAGGATATGTGTCCCATGGTAAAGGGCCACCAGCCAAAACTGCTTCTCCTTGGGGTCATTGCAGGTGACACAAGATGATGTAGCACCAGTGAGAGCTTTAACAAATGATGGATGTCCTGTTCCCCTCTCAATGGAATCTTTCTGAGAAATTGTTCCCCCTCACTGGTCTAATCTGGAAGTTGACTTTGGACAGCAGGTACATCCTGCAGCTTCTCTGCTTCCCTCTCAGAGCACCCAGAGCTGCCTGGGGCCATGCTGGCATGGCTGGGCTTGCCTTGGAGAGGCACTTCTTGAGGCAGAAGCTGTTGATAAGCCAAGTAAGGGAGCAGTAAAGTGTCTGAAATGCCACCTTAGATACCCTGCAGTTTAACACCCAGGTGGCCCTGCTGGGCCATGAAGCCAAGCCACCAGGAAGGTCCATAGAAATCCATAAAAAGGCCTTTTTCCAGCCTGGCATGAGGTTTCTCCCAAGCAGCAGAAGTGGTGGCTGCTGTGCTGGCTGTGCTGACCTCCCATAGCCTTCTCCTCACTTGTTGCAGCTCCATTTAATGGGATAGGATGAGCTAATCCCCTCTGTCCCCTCACAGCCCTATCGGAGGGGATTTCTGCACAGGGGCTGGAGCCAAGGAAAGCCATCACACCAGCAGTGCCCTCACCAACCCTCACAGGCTTCTGCTGGAGCCCAGATCAACCCTTTCCTTCTCTCCCTCGTGGGGCTTGGTGTGGTGTTTGCAGGGAGCTGGTCCATGGCTACAGCTGCACCATCCAAGCATCCAAACACCAGGTCAGAGGGGAGATCCATGGGCCAGTGAGAGACCCACAAGGGCTGCAGCTGAAAGGTGTGGACCTTTCAGCATTAAATGACAACCTTGTATTCTGTTGTGTTTTTCTAAGAGACTGCATGCCTGACCAGACTGCATTTCTTGGTCTGCATCCCATATTTATCCTGTAATTACACCTTTGGACAAAGGCTGCCTGTCTGTGAGGCCCATTTTTTTCAGGACACAGTTTTATTCTATGCTCTGCTTTCACTGTAATGAAATCTGGGGGGCAAGGGGAAGAAAACTCCCTACATCAGGAGTGAAAGCTGTTCTTTCTCAAAAGCTGCCCCAAGAGCAAAGGAGCTTGCACAAGCCCTCTCCTTTTTCCCAAAGAAACCCCAGCCACTGACATCCTTTATGCTTCTCTGCCACCCCACAGGGATTAATACCACAAACCATGTTATCCCATAAAAGAGAGTTGCCACCACACAGTCAATCTCTGGGCTCCGCTGCTGGAGGAGCCAGAGAATTTCCAAGGAGCTCCCTGCAATCCTTGCAGCCAGACAGCTGACATGAATAAAGCTGATAAAGTTTCTTGTTGGCACCTGCCTGGATCACATCACAATAAAGGGATGAATTCCCACAAAATGGCATTCCTGTAAAATTCCCAATGCCTGCTACATGCTTGGCTCTTAGCACAGGAGGGGTAGGAAAGATCAGCATGGCACAAAACCCAAAGGCAGGAGCTGTCTGAGCTGGGTTTTCCTTCAAGGGAAAGGACAGCCCTGCTTTCTCCCTGCTCACCCCATGCCAGGAGCTGACATGAGCCTGGCCACCCCCATTTCCCCAAAACCTGACTTGGTTTGAGCCCAAATTTGTAGGTGGTGATGGCACCACAGCACCCTGAGCCTGGCAAAC